CGACGCACCACACGCGCGCTGACGTCAGCCTCGCGTCATCACGATCGATCATCGATAGCTTCTGATAGGCGCGGATTCTTCATTTATCAACACGTGACACAGACAACAACAAAAATATTAAATTATTTATTATATTTTCAACAAAAATACATTTTTGCTACAACTCACAAAATGTAAAACGTGTTGTTATTTTTAATAATAATAATAATGAATATTATTCAATAACCATTACAACATAAATGATAAAATGAGTAACCGATTGTCAACATATTTCAGTCGGAGATCTTCACTAGAAAACAAGTACAACTGTGCAGAGGTGTGTGTGTGTGTGTATCAGAAGTCCTGAGCACCGGGTTTGAGGTCCGACAGACAGACAGAGACCCGTCCAACCCGACTGACACTTGTGTTAAGGACACACACGGGTCAGAGGAATGTGTGTGTGTGTGTGTGTGTGTGTGTGAAGGATACAGCATGTGTCTGTTGGAGGCGTCCGAGGGAGGAAGAGGTTGGAGAGACTCCAGTAAAGCGTTCATCCTCATCCTCAGATCATCAGGAGGAGCAACAGCACAACACTACACACACACACACACACACACACACACACACACACATCAATGATAATGAAAGACTGTTTTTAATATTTCTGATCAAATAAATAATAATAATAATGAGTGTGTGTGTGTGTGTTGCAGACCTGTGTGAGCATCATGCTCAGTGTGTGTTTGCTGAGGTCCGTCACTCCTCGTCTCTCCACCTCCTCACACACAGACTCAACCTCTGACTTCCAGAGCGAGACGCTGCCGCTGAAACGCACCAGCTGCACACACACACACACACACACATTTCTATTGTGAGGACCAGTTTGATTATAGTAGGTTATAATCAAGTTAAGGTTTAAAGAGCTAGAGATTACATTGTGTTTGAATGTCCTCACAAAGATAGTGAGTGTGTGTGTGTGTGTGAGTGTGTGTGAGTGTGTGTGTTACCAGTGTGAGCAGCTGCAGTGCAGCAGGTCTCAGGCTCCCGTCACACGACAGTAAAGAGAAGAGCAGGAAACGAGTCCACGGCTGATGAACCACCATGTGCTGCACTACACACACACACACACACACACACACACACACACACACACACACACACACACACACACACACACACACACACACACACACACACACACACGGATATTGAAAACAAAATCGAATCTGTGTGTCTAACCAAGTTGTGTTTAACAAACACACAGGACTCAACGCTAACGTCTACGCTAACGGACGGACATGCTAACAACAACATGTGTGAAGAACACTTCCTAACGTTCCCATTAAGCTTTGAAAACAAATCTCTTTCCTTTTTAAAGAAATGTTTTTACTCGGTTATGCGAACTTTAGGGGAATTATTTTGCAAACATTATGGGAATGTCACTTTTAAATGACCTCTGAACCTTCTGGAACAAGTGGGCTAACGTTTGAAGAACATCAACGTCAAACTAAAACGCTTCAGAAAACAAAATAAAAGTTCCATGATCAGTAGCTGACGCTTCCAGAACTTTATTAAACACTAGGGGGCGTATCACATAAACACTACAGTACAGACACATCCTAACTCATCTGTTTGGTAACCATGGCAACTTCAGTTAGGGCCTCATGGGATGTGATCTCACTTTCACGACATGGATGATGTGCGCCACCGTCATCCCTGCGTCCCGCTACACCCCTAGTGTTTCGAGTTCTGCTTAGTTTACGAGGATTTCTAAAACACGTGATTTATTTGATCGATCGGCTCACTCTTAGAAACTGATGTCATCATGTGATCTGAAACCTCACTGATAATCAGTGTGTGTGTGTGTGTGTGTGTACCTGATTCGGGCGTCCTGCGGCACAGAAACTCCATCAGAGACGTCAGACAGTTCAGAGCCGCGCTGACCAGCAGATCCTGCTTCTGCTCACACACACACACACACACACACAGCAATCACTGATGTACTGTCCTGTAATGTGTGTGTGTGTGTGTGTGTGTACCTGCAGCATGAGCGCGCTGAGGGCCGTGACGAGGCTGGCGGTGCCGCTGTGTCCCAGTGGGTGTAGAGCACCGTCTGCCGTCTGAAGGGGTCGTTCCAGCGCTGCGTCACACACACACACCAGAGCAGACTCGTCCACATCCAAACACACCTGCACGAACCGCACACTGCACACTACACACACACACACAACCTGTAATGAGATTACATCACTTGAGGAATCAGATCAGTGTGTGTGTGTGTGTGTGTGTGTGTGTGTGACCGAGCAGCAGCGCGTCCGTCTCTCTCTTGTTGAAGGCCAGTCGTCTCAGTATCTGATGAAGATCCACACGGATGCTCTTCTGCACCTTTAACACACACACACAGGTGTTTAGCGCTGCGACACACACACCTCACCTGAGCAGGACGCGTGTGTGTATGTGTGTGTGTCACCTGAGCGTGGTGTTTGTGCTGCAGGAGCACGAGTGAGGAGAGCAGGAGCAGGGAGGAGCAGTGCAGTGATGAAGATGATGAAGATGATGAAGACAAGACCTCCTCCAGCAGCTCCAGCAGCCTCACGTTCCCCAGCAGCAGAGACGCCACTGCAACACACACACACACACAACCAGCAGGAGTGTGTGAGAGACTGTGTGAGAGAAAGTGTTTGTGTGTGTGTTTGTCTATGTTGTTGCGTGTGAGTGAGTGAGTCAGAGAGAGAGAGAGAGTGTGGGTGTGTGAGAGAAAGTGTTTGTGTGTGTGTTTGTCTGAGTGAGTGAGCGAGTGAGTGAGAGAGAGAGTGTGTGTTTGAGAGAGAAAGTGTTTGAGTGTGTTTGTCTGAGTGAGTGAGCGAGAGAGTGTGTGTGTGAGAGAAATTGTTTGTGTGTGTTTGTCTGAGTGAGCGAGTGAGTGAGAGAGAGAGAGTGTGTGTGAGTGTAATTGTGTATGAGTATGTGTATGTAAGTGAGTGAGTGTCTGTGTGTGTGAGATTGTGTGTGTGTGTGTGTGTTACCCCTGTCCATGGTGTGTGACGTGTGTAAGTGACTGAATGTGTGTGTGTGTGTGTGTGTGTGTGTGTGAGTGTGTGTGTGTGAGTTACCTCTGTCGGTGGCGTGTGACGGACACACACACAGGAAGCAGTACAGACAGTTGAACCCAGACAGCAGCAGCTCAGAGTCACTGGAGTCCATCTTTCCTACCAGATTACTGACTACACACACACACACACACACGTATGAGTGATACACACGCTCAAACCGCAGACACACTCTCTGTTCTCACCGTGGTAAAGCAGTTTGAAGTCTGTGTGGGTCATCTGACTGGACGAGTGACTCTGGATCACAGACAACACATCCAACAGCACCGACAGCCCGTCTGAAACACACACACACACACACACACACCGGTTATGAGCTAATCTGGGCTGGTTTGGGATTGGTTAAAAGGCAAAACTAAAGTAGTCCATAAAACGAGTCCTAATTAAGATGAACATTAAATGCTCAATGCTGTGTGTGTGTGTGTGTATGTGTGTGTGTGACCTGTGTGTGTGTGTCTCTGCAGGACGCTCATGAGTGCGGATCGGATGTGATCGGAGAGATCAGTTGTCCTGCTGATGCTGACGCCGTCGACTGAACACAGGAACGATCGCAACACACCGACGGCTGACTGACACACAGCGGTCTCGGCGTCACACGCCACGCCCTCAACACACACACACACACATTATTGTTATGTGTGTTCATCATCATAGTAGGAAATGTTAGTTTTAAATCTCGTATGTGTGTGTGTGTCACCAGCATGTTCAGCAGCGCTGCAGGGTGTGTGTGTAGCAGCTCCAGCAGCTCCCGCTCCTCCTCTGGCCCGCGAGAGAGGCGTCCCGTCAGCGCCGGCGCCCCGAAGCGCTCCGAGAGCTCGGGATACTGGAAGATGAGGCTCAGCGCGGAGAGAGGAAGAGCGTGCGAGAACACCGCGGGACACGAGGACAGCGCTTTACTGACCACGCTCACTGACACCTGCACACACACACACACACACACACGCTTCAGTCGCTGTTTACACTCAGAGGGGTTGCTAGGGTGTTGCTATGTGCTCATCAGACATGTGGGACTGTAGTGTGTAGAATGCAGGAGTTCTTTAAAGGATTAGTTCACTTTTGAAAAAACTTTTGCTGATAATTTACTCACCCCCATGTCATCCAAGATGTCCATGTCTTTCTTTCCTCAGTCGAAAAGAAATTAAGGTTTTTGATGAAAACATTCCAGGATTTTTCTCCATATAATGGACTTCAATGGGGTCCAAACGGTTCAAGGTCCAAATGAGAGTTTCAGAGCAGCTTCAAATGTCTTTAAACGACACCAGACGATGAATAAGGGTCTTATCATGCGAAACGATCGGTTATTTCAAAAATGTAACTTTTCTAAGGACAAATGCTAGCCTTGCTCTATTCTGTGAAGCGCGTTTGTAACGTCACGTAATACGTAATTACGTTCAAAAGGTCACGGGCGACGTAGCCGGAAGTACAGAGTCAGTGTTTACAAGTTGAACGCATAGGTTGAACGTGCAAACTAACTCAAACACCGTTTCCAAAAAAGGAATTAAAAGGAAAAACAACGATGTCGGACGATTTTGATTCTGTACTTCCGGCTACGTCGCCCGTGACCTTTTGAACGTAATTACGTATTACGTGACGTTACAAACGCGCCTCACAGAATAGAGCAAGGCTAGCATTTGTCCTTAGAAAAGTTACATTTTTGGAATAAGTTTTGAAATAACGGATCGTTTCGCATGATAAGACCCTTATTCATCGTCTGGTGTCGTTTAAAGACATTTGAACAGTTTGCACTGAAACTGTCTTTTGGACCTTGGACCGTTTGGACCCCATTGAAGTCCATTATATGGAGAAAAATCCTGGAATGTTTTCATCAAAAACCTTAATTTCTTTTCGACTGAAGAAAGAAAGACATGGACATCTTGGATGACATGGGGGTGAGTAAATTATCTGCAAAAGTTTTTTCAAAAGTGAACTACTCCTTTAACTGATCAAGAATGGAATGTATTTGAACTTACTTTAGAATGTGAGAGTTCTATAACTGTTACTATAGTAACCGATGATGTTTCAAATATATTTGAATGTGTATGTGTAGAAAGTGTGAGTGAGGTCACCATGTCCAGTGGAGGGCCGGCGTGTTGATTGACAGACAGCAGATAGAGGACTGAACTCAACACACACGCAGGAAGAGCGTCGTCACACTGATCCTGAACACACACGATGAAGCGCAGAACGCAGGAGAACACGGCCGAGTCACACAGACACCTGTCGGTGTCACATGATCATCTCATGACATCATCACTCACACTATCACTCTCACTCTCAGACTCTCACACACACCTGTCTCCGTGCAGCAGCGAGAGGTGGAGCAGGTGGATGATGCAGAACTGTGTGTTCCTGAGGGATTGTGGGATATCAGGGAGAAGGGAGGGCCAGTCGGACACACTGCAGCACAGAGACGGCAGAGACTCCTGCAGGACATGCTGCACATCTGCACACACACACACAGAAGTAGAACTTTCTTTTAATGTTAACTATATAAAACTGATATAAAATGATATAAAAACCATAATTTAAAACAACACACACACGTTACCCTGAATGTCTTCCTGGTTCCAGGTGTCAGTGTTTGAGATCAGACACATGCAGAGCTTCATGAGGAAATCACAGCAGATCTGATTCAGAGACGCGTTCCTGAAACACACACACACACACACATCATAAACACCTGCAGTTCAACACACACTCACTATCTGTGTGTGTGTGTCTCACCTGTTCCCTGAACACAGCTGGGCTTTACTGTCCACAGTCAGTCTGATGAATCCAGACGCAGCTGACACACACACACACACACACACTGAATCAGAAACATTGGTAAAGAGAGTAATTTAATTTAAATCCCGATATATTTCTTTATTTCGGCCGATACCGGATTATAAGGCGCACTGTCGTTTTTTAAGTGCGGCTTATAGTGCGGAAAATACAGTAAATTAATATTGAATTATTGTCCAGCGCTAAGGAAAGCTCATGCCGGTTTTATAGAGCATCTGCTTCAGAGTGGCCGTGACCTCTGACCCCTGGTCTTACCGAGCTTCTTGGAGAAGGAGGTCATGTGAGCGGGACACAGAGCGAACTGACGAGACAGAACCGAGAGGAAGAGCTGCAGCGTCTGTGGAGACGAGACCCGCTCGCACACGCCCTACACACACACACAAACACACACTCAGGGGTCAGTGAACCTGTGGAGTTCAGCACGTGTGTGTGTGTGTGTGTGAGACTCACGGTGACTGCAGGGATGCAGGTGGTGTCGCAGCAGTGCAGCAGAAACACACACACCGACTCCAGCGTCTCCTGCTGCTGCGCTGGAGCTGAACACACACCGTCCGTGAGATCTGACTCACACACACACACCTCCAGCAACCTACACACACACACACACACAGATGTGTTCAGATGCTCTAACACAGGCTTTCACAAACTAGGCTTTCTCATATATATATATATATATACAATTTCACTAAAACAATTCTAATTAAAACATTGATTAATAAAATTAACAATACAAAACTCAATAAACACTTAATAGACATATACATTAAATTAAAATTAATAATTGTAAAATAATACAACACAAAATAAAACCCAACAATATATCCCAAAAATGTACGTTTAAATAAATATTTAAAAAAATAATAATAAAAAGTGAAAAAACATGAATCCCAAAAATGTAAATGTATCACATTATTCCAATTTATTTATTAAAAATCAAAACATTTACCCAAAAATTCATGAAATCATAAAAATGTAGAATTGATCAATAATTTTTAAAAGATCATAATAATAAAAAAATTGTATCACAAAAATGTTCAATTTAAATAAATTATTTTAATCATTTAATTTTAAACATTTCCAATTAAAATAAGCCTCATTACATCAATGAGATAATCAAATATTGCATTGTGTAAATTAATACATTCTTTTTTTTTTATTATTATTATTGACAAGAAGTAACATACAAAACTCTCGCAGGGGATAGAATGTACAAAAGTATTAACCAAGCAGAAAACAACAATAGAGAAAAAAATAAATAAAATAACAAAGAAGGGGCTACTACAAAACACACAAGTCAAAGGCAAAATAGAAAATCACATTTGGAGCGGCACACACAAGGGAGATTAATCAAAACAGTAGTTTCCTGGATATATCACTATACATTTTCCTTGCAATTTTAGTAGATTTTCCATTTTTCAGTGAGGTAACAAACAATTTAAAATCGTTTATAAACCAAACAAAGGAAGGCTTAGAACATCTCCACTTACTGCAATGAATATGATATTTACCCATAAGAATGATCATATTCACTAAATCTGATACTGATGAATCTATATTATCCATATAAAAGAGGATGTGTGGCAAGATGAGAGTAGGGATATTATCAATCTTGAGTGACATTAATACATTCTTAGCTGACTGTGATGACGTACTTTTCTGAAATACATAACTTTGTTTCCTCTGATAACAGAACTAAATTAGATCTAATAAACGAATAACACTACTCTACATTGTAGTATGGACTTCCTGTAAATCCACTTTGAAATGATGTGTTGTGAAAAGCGCAATACAAATGAACCTGAATTAAATATAAATAATTAAAATCTTAACTTCAAATCTCTCAATAAAAAGTGTGAATTATCTCACACATGACGTCTGCTGTCAGAGTGTGTGTGTGTGTGTGTGTGTGTGTGACTGACCTGCAAGCAGCATCGAAGCACGTGAGCGTTTGCAGTAAAACTCCAGCAGCTGACACTGATTCTGAACCAGAGCTGATCTCCTGAACACACACACACACACACACACATATGATCTTGAGTGGATCAGACTGATCACATGACCACTGATCAGAACACACACACACACACACACTCACTCTGCACTTGGACATCACGGCTTCCACGACTCTCCTGACGTCTGAGAACTGAACCGGACTGGACTGGTGGTTCGGCCTGTGAAGACACACACACACACACACACGTAACACGTGTATGAGAGACCTGAGCAGGACGGCGGTGGCTCGTACTCCACAGGTGTGTGTGTGTGTGTGTGTGTGAGACCTGAGGAGGATAGCGGCGGCTCGGACTGCACACATGGACACCTGCAGACAGGAAGTGGCCACGCCCTCCACGATGACATCACACACACCTGTGAATTCAGAGGCGGTCGGGAACAAGCGCACAGCTGCCGGCTGCCTGCACACACACACACACTATCACTGATTAAACACACACACACACACACACATTGATCCTACAGATGGAGGCACCAGCACCTGATATTTGATATTTAATCATAAAATTACTATAATAAGTGCAGTTACAAAATAATATTCCATGTTTGTTTATTTTTTGTATTGTATTGTTGTTTGTATTTATTTATTTATTTATTTTTCTGTCCTGTACTTTTTTTCCCCCTGTCCATCGCTTTGATCAACTCATGGTTGTTGTAAAGCGCTATATAAATAAAAATTGATTGATTGATGATCTGATATCTGTGGTTTCTAACCGAGAACTCGTGTGTGAGGCTAATCAAGACAACGGGAGTCCGAGGACGTGTGGTGTTTGACCTGTCCAATATGGCCGACAGCAGCTCCAGTCCCTGTTTCTGCACCTCCGTGTTGGACTTTCCCAGAGTCTCTTTCAGACATCGCACTAACGGCTCCATACCTCAAACACACACACATTTACACTTACACTTCTGAAGAATGATGGATTCTGGTTAGTATTAATGTATTACTCTCAGCGAACTCTCTGTAGCCGCGTTTCCTTTACAGATTTGCGCAAAATAGCGATATTTTTACTAAATGTACTTTATTTTCTCTTGCGATAAGTCATTCCAAAAATCATGGCGACGGATGTTGGTAGGTTTCCACAGGCTATATATCTCATGTGCACATATGAGGAGTTTCTGGGTGTTACTTCCTCATTTCTGCTTCAAGCTCTTGATAAACTGTGGCATTTCTTTGTGTTTAAGAATCCAGTATTCCTGTAATACTTTTGTCTTTTATGAGTTTAATGAAGAACTCCATCTCGTCGTCTACATCGGGTGATCTGTAAATGAGCAAAAACTGTTTCCATTGAAGTTTTGCGAAATATTCCTTTGTCGAATCACCTGAAAAACCTGTTTTGCGATATGAGAGTTTTTGTGAAATTGGCCGTATTTTCAGTCCACAATTTCAACTTGCGCATTTGAAGGGTGCTGGAAACGCGTCTTGTGATGTCTGGTGTCTGATGAACCGAGAGGAATGAGTTTGGACTCGGCAGCTGCTGGATCTCACCGTAGACGGCGTGACACTGCGAGAAGAAGAGCGGGTCTTCGGACAGCAGCAGTAAACAGCTGAAGACGGACCACAGCAACACGTCAGTGCAGCCGCTGCTCATCACCTCCAGCAGAAACTCTAACACACACACACACACATGCTGTCCTGTTTGTGTCGGAATGAATGGAAGACACTCCGAAATGGTGCAACATCAGCGTGTGTAAAGTTACGTCTTATGTATGTTATGGATGTTACGTCTTATTATGATACGTCTAATGTTTGTTACGTCTTATGTATGTTACGTATTACGTCTTATGTATGTTACGTCTTATGTATGTTAAGTATGTTACGTATTACGTCTTATGTATGTTATGGATGTAACGTCTTATTATGATACGTTTAATGTTTGTTACGCCTTATGTATGTTACGTATTACGTCTTATGTATGTTATGTATTACGTCTTATGTATGTTACGTCTTATGTATGTTACGTCTTATGTATGTTAAGTATGTTACGTATTACGTCTTATGTATGTTATGGATGTTACGTCTTATTATGATACGTTTAATGTTTGTTACGCCTTATGTATGTTACGTATTACGTCTTATGTATGTTATGTATTACGTCTTATGTATGTTACGTCTTATGTATGTTACGTCTTATGTATGTTAAGTATGTTACGTATTACGTCTTATGTATGTTATGGATGTTACGTCTTATTATGATACGTTTAATGTTTGTTACGCCTTATGTATGTTACGTATTACGTCTTATGTATGTTATGTATTACGTCTTATGTATGTTACGTCTTATGTATGTTACGTCTTATGTATGTTAAGTATGTTACGTATTACGTCTTATGTATGTTATGGATGTTACGTCTTATTATGATACGTTTAATGTTTGTTACGCCTTATGTATGTTTCGTATTACGTCTTATGTATGTTATGTATTACGTCTTATGTATGTTACGTCTTATGTATGTTACGTCTTATGTATGTTAAGTATGTTACGTATTACGTCTTATGTATGTTAAGTATGTTACATATAACGTCTTATGTATGTTATGGATGTTACGTCTTATTATGATACGTTTAATGTTTGTTACGCCTTATGTATGTTACGTATTACGTCTTATGTATGTTATGTATTACGTCTTATGTATGTTACGTCTTATGTATGTTACGTCTTATGTATGTTAAGTATGTTACGTATTACGTCTTATGTATGTTATGGATGTTACGTCTTATTATGATACGTTTAATGTTTGTTACGCCTTATGTATGTTACGTATTACGTCTTGTGTATGTTATGTCTAATGTATGTTACGTCTTACTGTATGTATGTTACATCTTATGTATGTTACGTGTTATATCTTATGTATGTTACGTCTTATGTATGTTACGTCTTATGTATGTTACGTGTTACGTCTTATGAATGTTACATCTTATGTATGTTACATCTTATGTATGTTACGTGTTACGTCTTATGTATGTTACGTCTTATGTATGTTAAATCTTATGAATGTTACGTATAACGACTTATGTATGTTAAATCTTATGTATGTTAAATCTTATGTATGTTACGTCTTATGTATGTTACGTCTTACGTCTTATGAATGTTCCATCTTATGTATGTTACGTCTTACGTCTTATGAATGTTCCATTTTATGTATGTTACGTCTTATGCATGTTACGTGTTACATTCTATGTGTTACATCTTATGTATGTTATGTCTTATATATGATATGTCTTGCATCTTTTGTATGTTGCGTATTATGTATGTTAACTATGTTATGATTTAATTCATTCATGTTTACACTGGTTCTGTGACTATCAGTTGGTTTGTACGGTTGATGTGGTAGTTAGCAAAGCATCTCACCGGGTAGATCGGCCTGAATGAAGGCGGCAGTAAAGCGTTGAGGAGCGTGAATCAGTACGGCACACACACAGCGCACCGACACCACTTGAAGAGAGTCCTGAGCGCTCAACAACAGCTACAACACACACATTTACATCAACAACGATCAATATCAATATTAATACATTACAGTTATCTAACTTGCCTTTTCCCCAATCACATATTTTTTTGGCGCTTTAAGTCCTTCCGCAGGCTCCTCCCCCAGTGGGTGGAGTCATGTTATACAATTTACTTAATCAAATCTTGCTCTAATTTTGGTAAAATCATGCATATTTGGCTGCTGTTTAGTGATGGATGTGATATTGAGAAAGAGAACGCATCACCCAAAGGCTCTTCCTGATACAGAGCATGAACAGAATCAGGAACCTCAGAGTTTCCGTAAAACAAAATTTGTGAAAAAATATGAAACACTAATTGGTTAGATGTTGACTATCTTAGAAAATTAAAGTCCAGTTTATTTTATTTTGTAAATTTTAAGTTTTATTTCCAAAATATTTTGTTCAGTGCATCTCTGTAAAAACACGTTCACATTTTGAAGCTACCTCTGTAATAACCAGTGTTTTTTTTAAAGAGTGTGTGTGTGTGTGTGTGTGTGTTCAGACCTTCTTCAGAATGAGCGGCAGTGGTTGATACGGCAGTGGATCTTCAGCGCCGTCTTTCAGATTCATCAACACACACACCACCTCAGAGTACTGACACATCTGCTTCACTACACCCAAGCAGTTGACGGTGAGCGCTGTGGTGTGTGTGTTTGAGAGCGTGTGCAGCAGTAACACACACATGCGCTGGCGGAGAGTGTCTGTTAGCATCTGGACGGCGGAGGCGGAGCTCCAGATCCTCAACAACACGTAACACACACCGGCCTTCACGTCCTCATCTGAGAGCAGCAGAGCGGCACACACACACTCCAGCACACGCGCTGCACACACACACACACACGATAACACAAAAAAGATTAAATATTTTATTTGTTTACCTGCATGTAATGAATTGCCACCAGTGAACCGCTTTCATGTGAATTTGTTGTCATATTATTCTTAAATATGATGTTAAAAGGTCATGAACTGAGAATTCAAGTTCTTCCACATGTAGTAATACTAGCAGAAGTCTCACAGCCAATCACAGCAGTGGGTGTTTACACTGAAGTCTCAGAGCCAATCAAAACAGTGCCCGTTTACACTGAAGTCTCACATAGACACGCCCCTTCAAACAGAGCATTCAAATCAGAGGCTAAAATCAGGCTAGGAAAAATGCCTTTTATTTCTTAGTTATGACATTTTTTATGTCAAAATCATACTAACATTATAAGGGCACCCAGGGCAATATTATTGAATTATAAAATAACCCACTTCATGACCCCTGTAATATTTTAGCCCAAAGATGTTTGGCTGAAGAAACATGAGAATCGCTGCCATAAATCAAGTCTAGGAAGGCAGTAAACAGTGTATTAAGTGTGAGTGTGTTCATCAGACAGTCTTACAGCGGCTGGACGTGAGTGTTTGGCTCAGAGCGGGATGAGCGTCCAGCAGTTTACCCAGAAACATGACAGAGGACAGAGACGCTTTCAGACCCCCGACATCAGACCACTGAGAGAGAGAGAGGTAACGATCACACCGGATGAACTAGTGTTAAAAATGTGTGTGTGAGTCTGTGTGTAAGTGAGTGAGTGTGAGTGTGTGTGTTCACACCCGTGAGTGGATCTGGTCCAGGATGAAGAGCAGAAGTGCTTGACTCGGGATGTCCAGCGTCACCTGCAGCAGAACTGAAACACACACACACACACACCTTAAAACATTATCAGTCCCGAGCAAAAACTGCTGAATAGACCCTCTCTCCCACATTTCCAGGGTCACGGTTGTGTAATATGATTTTTGTGTTCATATTTGCTACAATAGCTAAAGAAAGAAAAAAAAAACAGCACAAGAGATTTCTATGATTTTTCAAAAGAAAAAAAAAATGCAGATTGATTAAAATAACATAAAGTACATGTCATAAATATACACAAAATCTCAAACATGGATCACCCTGTGCGGTCTGATCCAGCAGAGATGAATCCACGGCGCTGAACAGCGTTCCTGAAACATATAACGTTATATTCTGAGGTTAGTTATGTTGTTTTGCTATGTTTGTGAAGATTAACATCAACAAAAACACATGAGAATCATAAACTTTTGTTGGTCACAGAGCTTATTTCTATGACAAATCTAATAGGGATTTTGTAAATGTGCACAATATACATGGGAGAGACTGTATTTAATAGATAACACGGTTTCTCTTACTCAGTAATGATGAGATGAAGTTTATTCTTCCTTCTTCTTCGCGATACAGAAACTCGCGAACAGCGGGCACGCGCATCACGGACACGAGCGCCGCGCGCTTCCGCACCGCCTGCGATTATGAACGTAAATCGTGAACTTCCACACGGTGGCGCTCGTTAAGCGCGCTTATTATTTCATATGTATCCAAATATTACTGTTCTTACCGATACATCCGACCTGTCCATCATCTCCAGGACGCACGCGACGCAAATGCCGCCGCGCTCCCACCGCGGCCCGTGTGCGTCGTGTATCTTCTCACAGATCGCGTCTGAACTCGACATTTTTTAGGTTATTCGACGAGCAATTGACTGACGTGATGATTCTGAGAGGGATATATCAGTTTGACGCGATTAAAAGACTACAATCACGATACTAATGTAAAACGCGCGCGAGGAGAGTAGGTCTGACCAATCAGAGCGAGTCAAATCCAACCAATCAAATCCAACAATGAGAAAAATAAGTAATTTTCTACACTATTTTTCCTCATCATAAAACATACAGAGATAACATGTTTATGACATACAACTTTGTATGCAATTTACAACATATATTAACAAAAAGCTCAATTTCACAAATAAGTTACAGCACTGAAGTAAACCAGTTTCTACTAAATACAACATGAACAAAATCCAACGTCTACATTTGTTGAAGAATTTTAAGATAGATTGTTATAGATGGATGAATACAGAGATTTTTTCTATTGAATGCCAGTCAATATAGGTTACACATAATAAACATGACAATAATCCAACATATTGTACGCGCCGTTTACAGGCTTTTAGCATATCGTGACTCAAATAATGTGTTTCTAGCAGCAAACACTCAGATAAAGTGAGATGATCTGCTGATGATCCTGAATGGCTTGTTGAATGAGTGTTGATAGTCTGAGGATCATCAATATTAACAGATCTGCTGAAAACACTCTTTATTTCATGACAATAGTTCCTGTTTTCACCTCATTTATTATGCTGATGTCTTAAAGCTTTCATTGGTGTCAGCAGACTGAGGGTATTTGCTGCTTACAAATAAGTACATTTATTTCTTTGTGTTTATGCTTTCGGATATTTTTCTTACAGTTCTTTACTACTTTTATAAATATAACAGAATAATAAATATGTCAATTAGCATATGACAAAAAGGGGTTTACAAAGCAAAAAACAAAACAAAAAACCTTTCAGGCGTATTTAGAACAAGAATAATTTGATAACATATTCAAACACTGTATTTAAGGATCACAGTGCAACCCAAAAATACTATTAATTGTCATTTTAAATTATGATGATTTAAATTATTTAAAATATAATGAAATTTAGTATGATCTTATATATTTTAATATGTACAGCAGGTCAAAATAAATGTTGATTTTTTTATTTTTACATAAATATTTCTGTTACGCTGAATGATAATAGGAAAATATTTCACATATATTTTTACAAAACTTTTTAACATTAAAATAGAGACTTCCATTTAATGTGTTTTATGTATGTAAATACATACATTATTTTTTTTATTAGGTGTTCAAGCACGAAGTGCTGAAAACCTATTGTATTTGCTAGAAAGAAAAAAAAATCCCCTAAAACGCATCGTGCAGCCCAAACCGTAAGGGCTGGAGCTCTGAAACTTTGTCAGATGGTAGGGCCTCGAATTGTGGAGAAGACAATTTTGTTATTTCGGTTTTTGTCCAAAACCCACTTTTGCGAACTAGTCCCTGGTTTTTTTCCCAATCATTTCATTTCATTTCATTTTTCATTTTATTGTTTATTTTTACAGGGACAATGCACAATTAAAAGTAATTGCACCAGAATTAGCTAATAGCTAGTTTACATCTGCTGTCCCTGGGCAGGAAGACAAATAAAATAACATACATTACATATACACCACATAAAGCATCACAGTACATAGGCTACATATGTAGAATATAAAATTTAAAACCAAAATATAAAACAAATAATTTGTTTCAATCGGGACCAAACCAGTCTAGGCCTATTCTCTGGACTCTCTAGATCAATAACTATCGAAAAAAAGTTTAAATTTTGCATTTGGTTGGCTGTAACAGGGTCATTTAGATAGTGGTCTGTGGCAAAATTCAGTCAAAAGCCCCTAAATCCCCCCCAAAAAGTCACAACTTCACAAAAATCGATGAGCATATGTGTGCTAACATGGTTAGGAAGAATGCAAAGTTTCATGGAGATCGGACTATAGCTGGCGCTATAACTGTTAAAAAGCTTCAAAACCATGCATTTCCAATTGTAAATTGCCTCTATTGGCTGTAAATGATATTTTCCATCTATTATGTCAGTGGATAATGTATGCTGAATAAAACTGAATGCCTTTTGATGCTTTTGTGCTTAAAGGCCTTAAAGGTCTGAACTGCTTGAACACCGATAAATGCTGCTTGCAGCTTTAATATTTATTATTTTGGCAGATCAGCTCTGATCAATTTGCAGTTAAGTCAGCGAACCCCCGCCCACTGTAGTTCACATCATCAGTGAAGCTCCTCCCACAGCACTCACATCATCAGTGAAGCTCCTCCCACAGCACTCACATCATCTGTGAAGCTCCTCCCACTGTAATTCCCTATAAATGCTGAAATATTCCCATCAGCTACAAGTGAAGACGAGCATCAGAGCATCAGGAAGAGCTGAAATCTGCAAAGACTGAGTTTATTAAAGAGGACAGTGAGAACATGAGTGATCCAGAACCCTGCAAAATGAAACACACTGAAGAACAAAGAGGTTGGTGTTTATTCTTCATTCATTCATGCGAGATGGAAACAAAAAAAAACTAAGTTATACTGTTTCACGTGCCGTTTGAACTGAGGCGCTACAGCGATCTGTCACATTTTAAAGCACCAAAAACGGTATTTATTGTTTGAATCTCGTGAAAACATGTCAGAATCTGAGAGTAACCTTCTCTTTCACGTCAGATTTTTCTCTGCGTGGGAAAGTGGATGTGTGGCGTGAATGAATTCTCACAGTAAATATAGATAATACAGATATATATATGTATACACTTAATATTTCTCTTGTGATTTAGATGTTCTAAAAGTGAAATTAATTATTTGTTAATTTCAGACCTGATGGAAGTGAAGGAGGAGAGAGAAGAACTGAGAGAAGTGAAGGAGGAGAGAGAAGAACTGAGTGAAGTGAAGGAGGAGAGAGAAGAACTGAGAGAAGTGAAGGAGGAGAGAGAAGAACTGAGAGAAGTGAAAGAGGAGGAACATCATGTCAAACCTGGAGAAAAACCTTTGAGTCGCTCAAAGACTAAACATCATTTTTTAAAGAAAAGAAAAGACAATAAATCTTTCACCTGCACTCAGTGTGGGAAGAGTATCACAACCAAATATAGTCTTGAGATTCACATGAGGATCCACACCGGAGAGAAACCGTTCTCATGTCATCAGTGTGGGAAGAGATTCAGTCTATCATCAAACCTTAATGTTCACATGAGGATCCACACTGGAGAGAAGCCGTTCACATGTGATCAGTGTGGTAAAACATTTATTGGGTCATCATACCTGAAGAAACACCTGACAGTTCATAAGAAGGAGAAGCCGTATTCATGTTCTGTGTGTGGAAAGAGGTTTTCACGGCTGCAAAGTTTACAAAGACATCAGAAAATTCATACTGGTGTGAGAGAGTTCATGTGCTTTGAGTGTGAGAAGACTTTTATTTCAGCACAAGATTTAAAACGGCACCGGAGGATCCACACTGGAGAAAAACCTTACAAGTGTTCACACTGTGACAAGAGATTCAGTGATTCATCAACTCTGAAAACACATGAGATGATTCACACTGGAGAAAAACCTTACAAGTGTTCACACTGTGACAAAAGATTCAGTGATTTATCAACTCTGAAAAGGCATGAGAGGATCCACAGCAGAGAGAAGATCACATCACACATGTGATCAGAACGAGTTTCTCTATTAAAAGTGACCGGAAGATACACATGAAGATCTGTTAGATCCAAGTCTGGAAATGGCTGAGATTCGGGAAGATCTTTTACTTTTAATGACTAGATGTACTTGCATATAATATAATCTATAATAACATTAAACAGGCTAATTTCATGTTTCCTCCAGAGTCCAAACAATTTTTCTTAGTTATCAAGACAACAACATTTAGGTATTTTGTGTGGCACAAACACATTTATTCAACAGCATCTCTACTTGGAGGAAATTACCGGTTTGATTTTGGCCAAATTAAAGATACATTGTCAAGGAATTTGCATTTTAAATACATTTGTCCTCGGGTTTTAATGTTTTGGATGGCTCGGATATGAAGGTAATATAGTATAAGTTTGCAAGCGTAAATAAAAATTTGCATGTGTGACCTCTGTGTAATGTCTTCTGCCTTATATAAACTCTCGGATCTCGTCAGGTTTGCTGTAACGGCAGGTTTATTCCACATCTGCATTCAAGGCAAAGAACAACAGTGTTGAAAATGTGAACAAACAGCGCATGCTCTGTCTCAGTGAAAACCATCTGTTGCTTTTTGGAGATGAATGTATGTATTTTAGACACATTGTTCTTGCTCCGTCCATTCAAACCGCGTCCATGTTATGAGCCGAGCTTTTTTATTTACTTCAACTGCTCAGTGTTCTGTCATTATCAACGGGATTACGTATTTCAGTAGTTGCCATAATTAAATATGAGCAGAATACTCACTTACATTCACTGAAATATTGAAACGTTTAGCGCTACTGATTCAAAACACGAGCGCCAGCTCGGTTTGAGCGCCCCGCCCCCCAGCCGAACTGGAGGTTTTTGATTGGTTTTGCACCCGAGTCAGATCTGTCTGTTATTGGCTGAAGCGCTTCAGATCTGTCTGTTATTGGCTGAAGCGCTTCAGATCTGTCTGTTATTGGCTGAAGCGCTTCAGATCTGTCTGTTATTGGCTGAAGCGCTTCAGATATGTCTGTTATTGGCTGAAGCGCTTCAGATCTGTCTGTTATTGGCTGAAGCGCTTCAGATATGTCTGTTATTGGCTGAAGCGCTTCAGATCTGTCTGTTATTGGCTGAAGCGCTTCAGATATGTCTGTTATTGGCTGAAGCGCTTCAGATCTGTCTGTTATTGGCTGAAGCGCTTCAGATATGTCTGTTATTGGCTGAAGCGCAGGGCTCCACCGCAGTAGTTTGAAAAGTGTCTGTCAAATGTCAGCTTGCCCTGTTGTTCTGTCGGCACCTTTGTCAAAGTGCTTTGTACTTTTTATGAAATATAAATGTAGAAAAGTTGAATACTTTATTTTTAATAAGTAATTTTTCTACTGGAAATACATTACAAATCCAACATGAACTAAATCCAACGTCTAAAAGCTATACATTTGTTGAAGAATTTTAAGATGGATGAATACAGAGATTATTTTCCATTGAATACCAGTCAATATACACATAATAAACATGACAATAATCCAACATGTAGTGCAGCCTATAATATTAAACAAATCCAAGAAATGGGAAAATAAAATAAACAGTGTAATTTATAGAATAATAATGCAAGTCAAAAGAAAGAAAGTATAAATTGAACAGAAAAAAAATAACAGGTATGAGATCATTATTTAAATAGCATAAAAGCTTCACATAGAGGCTTGATTTTTCAGTAACGTTAACTCAATATAATTTTTCATTGGATGCAGAGATATGCTCATTTTGCCCAGATACGAATGATGTCATTTAATATTCAACAATATTATTGATCTGTGTTGTATTACTTTCATCTTATCACTGTGATGCTGCTTTGATACAATCTGTATTGTAAAAAGCGCTATATAAATAGGGTGACTATAAAAGGTGACTTGATTTGACTTGTACTGACAAAAGCTTAGTCTTCTCACATTCATGGATTCTTTTGACGGGTAAATAAAGCAAATACTGATATCTGAAACTTATCAATGTCATCTATAAAAAAATGACATAAATAGGGTGTTTTTTTCAATTATTCAAATTAACTGAAAAGTTTAAAAATATATAGAAAAAATTAGTGTTGAGTGTGAGTTTTTGAGTGCTGATATGAGCACCAGGATTAAGCTGTACAGTAGGTTTTCATACATAAAGCTTGAACAAAGCATCATCCAGTCAGTATTTCAGAGGTTTTTTTGGTTGACAGCAAAAATAACCAAATATCAGTTCAGTTCAGTTAAGCCAAAATCAATGACATTAATGTGCTTTTCATGTTCAATAAATGAAAACACTACAGACTCATTTTGATTATAGCATTTTATTTTGAAAGCATTTATTTGTTTTGCAGTACATATATAGTCAGAGAAACAACAGGATCAGAAATCTGTTACCGTTACTCTTTCATACCTTCAAATTTAGACAAGCTTAGCTGAGCATTATTATAGAGATCATTTAGCTGCTAACCATGTACAAAATGACGCTGGAATTGACTTAAGAACCATGGGTTTGGATGATAATCTTTCACGTCAAAAAACTGGTTACAGTCTCGGCTGAAGAGTGAGGATTGTTTAAATTTGTTCCCGAGAAATTCCTCTAATATCCCCAGAGTTTTATCAGGGATTGGGATTGGGTTTTTCTCATCTTTGTTTTCAGCCCAGTGAGCCTTGGATTCCCAAAATAAAGTTTTAGGATTAAAGCAGCAGAATACGGTCCACATGTGTGAGGGAATGTTAACTCTGTTATTCAAGCGTTTGTCGCCAGGCACGGCTCCGGTCAGCACATACGCCAAGATATCATCAGGGTTATTTTCGTCACGGCAATTAGTCTCCATGAAAAGTCTAACACTTTGCTCCATACTTCTCCAACTACCCTTATTAAATTTAGTATTCTGTGGAACAGTATTGGTCAGTGTGTATGTGGATTCGGCAGTGATTTCATCAGGTGCGTGGCCGTTGGGAAATAAGTGACCACGTTCCCATTCCTGTTTTTTCTGCTTCCAGTAGTCTCGGTCTGCAGCCTGATTTTCACCTGGATCAGACATCGAGCCATCTAAAGTGTTAAGCTACAGAAGAGGAAATGAACAAAGAGAAAGAGATGTACAGTCATTAACACTCTCAGAGAACTAAATGAAATGAAACTATTATGAGTAGAAAAGTAAAATTAGATCAATAATGAGGTTTCAATTATAACCGTAACAGAAACATTACCTGCGGCTCGATCATCCATGGAATATGTGGGGGATTTTTATTAACCGCAGTAAATTTGTAAGCTGAGAAAAGAGGGATCTTCGCTGATATGTCATACAGAGTTGCATATCTGTATTCGCCCTCATACTTCTGACAGATTAGTTTGTAGCGGTTATTATCCTGCGAGGTTGAATGTTCCAGAACGCCTTTAATCTCGGGAGGCTCTTCTTTAAAAAACATACTGCTGCATGTGCTGAAAGATTCAACAACTTCAGCCACGATGAAGGGAGAGCACAACACCAGCAACACGGCGGAGACGAACAGATGCATCTTCACCTGAACCCAATCACAAACCAGTGTAGCTTTCCCACAGACACGTCTCAAACTCAAGCCTCAGTGCACTCAATGTTTCCTCACACGGGTTTATATAGTGTTGCAATAGACACTACGCCTACACACAGGGCCGTAGCTAGAGGATTCAGGGCCACTGAGAACATACGGATATTGACATATTGACAGGCCCACATATAACAGAAGATGATAACATAACAGTGATGTTGTTGTAAAACCTTTACTTTAAAAGTTAAATGTTTATATATAAATTACAACTAAGAACACAAGCAATTGTTAAATAATAATAAAACCAATTTTAAAAAAGTAACAGAAAAATAAGGTTTTTCTTTTCCCATCTGTCTGTTACAAAAAAAGGATTATTATTATATTAAAATTAAATAAATAATATATATATATATATATATATATATATATATATACATAAATTAAATAAATAATAATTATATATATATATATATATATATTATTATTATTATTATTATTATTTATTTAATTTTTTGCATCCATGGAGCTAGTCTTTCACTGATTGTTTACAGCTTAACAATAATGTGGATTGTGGATTGTATAACTGCTGGATATATAATCGTCACCATCTTTCACCCCACAAATATTTGAAATAAGCAAGTACAGTAACAAATTATTTGTATTTTCATTACTTTACACCACTGGTTTCAAATCATACATTTTAAACATTGATTGCTAGGGGCTTTTGGGGAAAAAAGTTGCTAGGATATATAGACCATTTCACAAAATGTAAACAACACTGGTCCAGAAGCACTTCCTGTTTCAGTTTTTTAACACTACATAAAAGCTGGGATAAAATACAACTAACAGAACATTTAAAACTGAGTCAAAAAGTTAAACAAACATCTTTAAGATGTTTTCTTTACATGCGAAATAAAGAAAACAGTTACAAACTGAAACAGGAAGTGCTTCTGGACCAGTGTTGTTTACATCTTGTGAAATGGTCTATAGTCTGATAAGTTGCTAAATCTAGATTAATAATTGCTGAGTTGGCATTCCTGGAATGAGGAACTCTTCAGAGATGAGGAAGTGGGGAGAAAGAAAGGAGCTTATGCTACGTTCAAGGCATGTTTTGAGACTTTGTAGCATTCCAGGTCATTCACGCCAAACTACCTAGATGTACCTTACGGGGCTACCTTACGGGGCTCACGCGCATTTGTAATAATTTCTAATGCCAAAGGTGCTTACTCCTTGTTTATTTGTGGAAAAGTGAGGAGGAAAAATAGTGCATGAGGCAAGATAAGCTGTTATACCTTTTATTTTATTTTATTTGTATATTTGGAAATGTATTTGGTATTAATTTATCCTTGCACTCAATGGACTGAAAACTAGTTAACATTATGTTGTCCTAAACTAAAGTGTATTCTCACCGTGCTCGCCGGCTGTCATTGTAGTTTTGTATAGGTTCGCGGGATATGTGACGTCAGAACTCGTAACTGGGAGTAC